TATCGTCACCCCCCTACCCCCACCCCCCTGCTCCAGTGCTTACCTTCCCCAGCTCTCGTCCGCTGTGTTGAGCCCATACTCCAGCGAGTCGAGGCCCTCGCAGGGTCAACATCCGTCATAAGTTATAACCGCTCCATCACCCCACTAGGACTGCAGTAACTACCCGCCCCAGTTCTCACCTTCGAGAGATCCACCCACTCCCAGCTCTCGCCCGCCGTGTTGAGCTCATACTCCAGCGAGTAGAGGCCCCTCGCCACATCCCCATCCGTGACCACCGCCTCATAGAGCCCCAACCCACTAGAGCTGCAGTAACTACCTCCCAGTTCCTACCTTCGAGAGGTCCACCCACTCCCAGCTCTCGTCCGCCGTGTTGAGCTCATACACCAGCGAGTAGAGGCCCCTCGCCACATCCACATCCGTGACCACCGCCTCATACCACCGCGATACGCCATCCTCCGTCCACCGGGTCTTCACCCTCCGGCCTATCAGCGGGTCTAGCGTCACCCCCCCACTGCCCCCGCCACTCCTCCCCCCACTGCCCCCCTCCCGGTCCCCTGGCGCACCGGCAGACTGAGGAGGCGGAGGGGAGAGGGGGGAATGATGTGGGGGAAGGAGGGGAGGGGCGGACACAAGGTAAAGGGGACGATAGGCTGGGGAAAGGGGGGAGGGGAAGACGGGAAGAAGGGAGGAGGAAAGGGGCACGCCGGAGGTGGGGGGGAGGAGAGGAGGTGGCGAAAGGTGAGGAGTAAAAGGCTGCTAGGTGAAAGTGCGGCGCAAGTGCGTGAGTAAATGGAAGGGTACCGGAGAGACACCAGCTCTCTAGGGGCGCCTCAGTTCAAGGAAACTGGGGAGATTGGAGTAAGGCAAGGTGACTAGTAGAGTGGAGCTGTACTCCCATACACCACTCACCCATTTCTGGTAAAACTTTGTACTTTTTACTTACTAACCCCGACGTCCTTCCCCTTCCTCCCCCCTCTTCCCAAACCCTACAGCCCCCCAGGCAAAACAGCAAACCTAGCTGCCTGCATCTCCCATCTAGTCTCTCCCCGATCCTCCCTTCACCCCAAACCTTACCCCCAGCACTCACCCATCGCCCCGCCGTCCCTTCCCTTCCCCCTCTCCTCCCCGACCCCACAGCCTCCACAGGCGCCACTGCAAACGGCGCCCCACTCCCGCTCCCCCTCCCCCGACCCCCCGACCGCCCCATGCCCTTCCCCAGGGGCGCTGCGGAAAGGGCGGCCATTTTTGGCCGCTTGCGTGAGGAGGCTGGGGGGATGATCTCGGGGGAGGGCGCAACTGGGGGAGGCGCGGGCGCGGGAGGGGGGGAGGCGGATGGTGCAGGTAGGCCCCTGCATCCCGCGCCTTCTTCCAATCACTGCAGGGATGGGCGGGAAGGGGGAAGGGGGAAGGGGAAGCAGGAAGGGGGAATGGGGGCCGGGGGGAGGGAGGCATATGTTGAGCTGTGATGTGGGAACCGGGGGATGTTGAATTGAAACGACACCACACAGGGGGTACGTTAGAAACGGCAAGACGTTTGCTGGAAGCGAGGCACCAAATCAGGCGTATGATCTCGTCCTCATGCACGCGCGACAGCAGCACGCGGTGCACCACGCCGCTTGCAATATGCAGAGAAAAACAAGAGGTAATAGCTACCTTGTGCACCCAAACGACGCACCATATAAGGCGGATGTTCTCGTCCTCGTGCACGCGCGACAGCAGCATGCGGCACCTCGTCCTGAATGTTGAGCTCCTTGCGCAGATCCGACATCAGCCGCTCCTTCGCCTGCCACCACCATGAGATCAGATCAGAGGGCAGTTAGAGGGTAGCCTTTCTTTAGGCGCCTCAAAAATCAGAGGGCGGGTAAAGGGCAGGTAGAGGGCAGGTAGAGGGCAGGTAGAGGGCAGGTAGATGGCAGGTAGAGGGCAGGTAGAGGGCAGGTAGAGGGCAGTCAGCGGGCAGTCAGCGGGCAGTTAGAGGGTATCTCCTTGCGCAAGTCCGACATCAGCCGCTCCTTCGCCTGCCACCACGCATCCACCATGCACCGCCCATAACCCATGATCCCCATCGCACATCACCAACCAACCATGGCATATCATTCCCCATTACAATCCATGGGTCCATCGGTGCATGGGTGCATGGGCGCATGGGTCCAAGGGTGGATGGTCCACGGCAACAAGGTGCAGTTCGAGACGCCAGCACAGCAGCAGGGCGGTAAATGGAGAACGGCGATGTCGCTTGGAAGACTAAGGAGGTGTGCCTACCCACGTGATCGCCTCTGACTGCGCGCCGAACGCTCTAATCACGCCTAAGTACGCCTCTCGCTCCAGCTGCTGCAGCATCCCCTCCCATGCGCTCCCACCCACACCCCTCCATGCGATAGTAAATACATTTTGAGACGTCTCATCTCAAGGTAATCGCCCTTACCCAGGTGATCGCCTCTGACTGCGCGCCGAACGCTCTGATCACGGCTAAGTACGCCTCTCGCTCCAGCTGCTGCAGCATCCCCTCCCACGCGCTCCCCGCCCCGCCCCCCTCCTCCACCCCCTCCATCCCGCAGGCCCCCTCCGCTCCCCCCACCATCCCCGCGCCCGCGACCCCCGCCGCTGCTGCCGCCGCTACCGCCGCTGCCGCGGCTGTTGTGGAGAGGTTCGAGCCTCGGACGCTGCTGCCTCGGCCGAGCCTCTTGGGCGGGGATGGGTAGGCGTCGTCGTCCGAACCTGTGAAGGAGGGACGGAAAACGTGACGAGAAACGTCAAGAGGAGCGGGAGACAGCGGGCGTGCGAAGCGAAAGGCGCGGAAATAAATCGGCGGGGAAATAACTGGGCGCACGACATCTAACGAGGTCTGCCCGACAGGCCATTGGCGGAAGGTAAGCGCGCGCGAGCGGAGATGCCGACGAAATAGCTCAAGTGAAAGTGAGGCTGAATAAACGCAGGTAGATCAAGTAGAGGGGAAGGTGATAAGGGTATCACTGACCGTCATGCCCTACGGCCGGCACAGGCTTGTTGCCCCCCCGCTGCTTCGCCTGCATCCAACGGCGCGACGCAACGCGAACGCAGCAAGAAGTGAGGTGGGGTGATACGAGAACACCAATTAGGGTTGGGTCGTCGGTATAGGCGCCCGAGAAAATGCGAAAAGAACAGCGGAGCAGCGCTGACAATCGAGCGGCGGACTCACCATTCTCAAAATGGTTTCTCTGGCGAAGGAAACGGAGTATATACAAACGGCAGTGACGAGGTGAGGATGATGGGGGGTGGAAGTTCGGGAAACCTAACCCTAACCCTAAAGCGGTGCTCCAAAACTCCTGTGAGCGGACGTGCTCGGCATAGCAGCGAAAAATTTGTTTGCTTCTGCTGATTCTTTTTATACATAATATCGAATTTATTGTCGACGCGGACATTGCACTGACCCCGATGTGTCTCTGCGTGGGAGGACGGTTCGGACCAGGACGTTCGGTTCAACTGCCCGCAGGCATTTTCCCTTGCTTCGTGCGGGTCGCGCTGTCAGGAATGCTTCATTTCTGCGAAACACCTGCCCTTCGTTTTGCGTCGCCTGTATCCAGCTGACCAGTCGTCGTCCAACCAGAATTGCTGCGAGTCGACAGGCTGTAAACACCGCTAACCAAGATTGGTGCTGCGACTGACGAAGATCGTCGGCACAGCTGTCTGACTTTCCTTGCATGCACCTTCTCCCATTCCACAGCCCGTATCATCTCAGTTTTTCCGAATGCTTCTGCCGACAACCTCGTTTCGTACTCGCGCGTTTTCCGCAGACGCCTCCGCGGGAAACTGTAGCGCACCCCCCCGGTGTCCCGCCGGCTATTGCACTTACCTCCGCCTAACTCCCCACCCCAGCCTCCTCCGCGGCGTGTACGCCACAATTCACTTTATACGGTATAGTCTGGTTCTCAGCGATCCAACGTGGTGAATCGCGAAAGCAGCTCTCAATCACGATTTATCCTAAACGTACGCGCTGCTCCTCCACTCTGCTGAACTAAGGGCGGGCGACATTAGGCTCGAGCTGGGGCAGAAAACTGACCCCAGGACTCAATACCCAACCCCACTCCCCCCTCCCCTTCCCCGTTCCCCCCCGCTCTTGTTCCCTCCCCATCCTTCCTGCCCCCTACCCCCCCCCCCCCCCAAAGCACACTTACCTGTTGCATCTCAGTCAACCGTCCTTTGACATGCCTGAGCCGCTGAATCCACGGCACTGCTTCACTCTCTTTCTTTCACCATTTCCGTAGCTCCTCATTTGGGACGCCATTTGTCACGTGCGTTTCTGCCTAACGACGTCTCTCGCTGGCGTCTCGGCTGCAACTGGTCTATCTTGGACCGCGCTTCTTTCGACCTGCCATTTCCATGCGAGCGTGGCTGCAGTTTCGTTACCGCTGACAGCAACCTCCCGCGCGCCTACGTCTACGCAAGTGACTCGGATAAGTCAAGCTTTGGGGCGCTTCAAAACTACGAATAAGTCACTTGAAGCCATGGGCCCGATTCGAATAAGACGCTTGACGTCGCCGTCGCTCGCAACGCTTTGCTCTAGAACCTCCTCCACTTCAGCTCGCCATACCCCGACCCGCCATAACCCAACCCTCCACAGCCCAGGCCGCCAACACCGACCGCACTCTCCGCTTCTCCTCCTCCTCCTCCCGCTCCTGCTCGCCGCCGCCTGCTCGCTCCCCCCCTGCTCCGCCGCCAAGCCCGCTCCCGCCGCCGCGAAGCCCCCCGCTCCGCCCTCTCCGCCCATTCCGCGCCCGACCCTTTCGGCAACGCGGAGGTGCTGGGCTTCCCCAAGCCGCCCAACATCATCTCCGACGGCACACCGGCAGCCACCGTCCGTCAACGTCCCGCTGACGGTAACGATGACGGAATTCGTCAGGAGCTCCTTTCCGTCAACCAGCCGACACCCACCGTCTCCGTTCTCACCGTCACCATCCTGACGGTGCTAATGGCGGCAGCGACGGGCCTGGGCTCTCTGCCGTTCTTTTTTATGGAGATGGAGGAAGAGTGGGCCGGCGTGTGTAACGGCGTGGCTTGCGGCGTCATGATGGCCGCTAGCTTCGACTTAGTCTCCGAGGGACGGCTGCACGACAGCGGATCTGGCGGCGCGTGCGTGGTGGTGGGGATTATTCTGGGCGGGCTGTTTATCGTTGTGAGTCAGCGGATTCTGGAGCAGTTTGGCGATGTTAAAATGATGGACTTAAAGGGCGCATCCGCTAACCGCGTTGTTCTCATCCTCGTTATAATGACCCTCCACTCCTTCGGCGAAGGCTCGGGCGTCGGCGTCTCCTTCGCCGGCCCTCGCGGGCTGTCGCAGGGGCTGCTGGTAACCATCGCCATTGCCGTGCACAACGTCCCGGAGGGCCTCGCGATGACGCTCGTGATGGTCGCACGCGGCGTGCGACCGCGCAACGCCATGCTGTGGAGCGTCTTCACGAGCCTCCCGCAGCCGCTAGTCGCCGTCCCCGCGTTCCTCGGCGCCAACACCTTCACGCAATTCCTACCCCTCTGCATGGGCTTCGCGGCGGGCTGCATGATATGGATCGTCTTCGGGGAGGTCCTCCCGGAGTGCATCAAAGAGGGCGCCAACTCCTCTCACGTGGCCTCCGCTGCGACGCTCTCCGTCGCTTTCATGGAGGCGCTCGGCGCGTTTCTAGAAGGCGCGGACTCCCCTGCCAGCTGGCACCGCCTGGTTCCCATCGCCTGGGCGCTGCTGTTCTTTCTGGGCCCTCTGTTCGGCTCCATCCTCCCCCTCCTCCTGTCCCACTCTCTTCCCGCCCCGTCTCGCCCCCTCTGCTCTCTGGCTTGGCGGGGGGTCGCTTTTAGGCCTGGCGCTGTGGCAGCCGGTGCAGCTGCTGGTGACGGGGCAGATGGAGTTACTCCCCCTGCTGTCGGTGTTCTATGTCGGCTGTGTGCTGCACTATTTCTGTGCTTCCATGGGGGGAGTCTGGCTCCTGGGAGTGTGTTAGGGGCGCAGCAGAAGGTCCATGGCGGTTTCAGTGACGTGCAGTGTAGTCAAGGGATGCAGCAGCGGGCTGGGGAAGCGGAAGAGATGGAGGTTCTCCGAGCGTGGAAGCCGAGCCTGCAGCTCAGCTACGGTATCCGAGCCTCGGTGCTGGTCTGCATTGCTGTGTCTGGGCATGCTTTTGCCGAGGGGCTCCTGCTGGGGCAAAAAGCAGCACCAGGAGGGGGTAGGGGGGATAGAGGAGGAAGAGGAGGAGGGGAGTAGGGGAGATTGGGATGCGCATGCTGCTTCCCGCAGCCATTCATGGCGTGCCACGTGGCGTAGCTGCAGCAGCCGCTGCGCTGGGTTCATTCTCCATCACTCGATCCACTCCAGAGGTCCCCCTAGCCGCAGTCCCCCTAGCACTCGCATCTGCTGCTGCAGCCGGGCTGGCTGGGCCCATCGGTGCTGTGGCCTCTTTCCTCTTCTTCCATAGCTTCGGGGCTGGGTTGCTGAACTGGCTTGTGCTGGCTTGTGGCTTGCTGGCCCCTGCAGGGCTAGATCAGCTGCTGCCTAGAGGCCTGTGGGTTGCTGGAGGGAGAGGAGGTGTAGGTGGAAAGGGAGGAGGGGAATGGGGATGGAGTGTTTTGGATAGGCGACGAGTGGCTTTGGGGGGGTCTTGGGGTTGGTGCTCGTGGTGGCGAGCCTGATGGGGAAGAGGTCGATATGTGCGCATACAAGTTACTGTAATGCGGCTCCTGCAGCGTTGACATGAGTTGGTGCAGAGACTCATGCCATGGCTGTTGTTGACATGTCCCCAAGCACCTCCCTGCCCCGGCTGATCATTGCTGTAGATTGTGCTACCCGGTTCTGCATAGTAGGTGTCAGCTTGTTGTTTATATGGCTTGTTAATACAAAATAGTTTAATGAGGCTAATCATTGTAACTAATGATCACTCATGAGTAAATGGATGTCTGTAAATCACTATTTTTCGTAAATACTATCGCTGTCATCTGTACAGAAATATTCGAAGCAGATTGTATTTCGGCTATTCGCTGATGTCAGGGGGCAGGGCATTCCCTGAGTCCTCCTGACAGCCGCCGCGTTTCGGAGTCCCCCCCCCTTCTGTCATTCTAGACTTGGCCGATTTTTTCCATCCACGGTCTGAAGTGAGCGCTCCTGATAGAAGTAGTTCCCGCCTCGCGCTTGTTCCAGACATTCGAGACGCTTCGCTGTCCCCCTTCCGCCGCCAGACCCGTCGCATCGCATGGCTCGAAGCCTGTGTCCGCTTGCTGAAGTGCTAGAGCGTTCACGGAGAACGCTCAGCATGCAAGGCACGTTTGAGATTCAGGATGCCTGTAGAAAGCAATTGACTGAAGAAACTTTCTGGCTGCTTCTGCCAGACTTTCCAATAGCGGCTACTTGAACTTTAATATTCCGTCTCCTAGTCGGAAACTTTCACATTCCTCAGGAATTAAGTTTATTCTCCGAAGAGATAGCCATAGAGAGTAAGGCTTCTCACGAGGCCAGCTGGTAGTGGGGTCCTGAATCAAGTGATTTTTGAGTCGACTCAAGAGTCCTGAATCATGGCTTCCGCTTCGTCCCAGGCTGGCTACTTAGCGAAGCAGGGTCTGAGTCTCTTATACAGCGCCACTGTAACGGGGGTGAACGCGGTGTCGACAGGAATCAGTATGGCGTACAAGCACTGCGCGGATCTGCACGAACGGGAGAAAATCGAATCTATGCGCAAGGCAGGAAAGCGACCAGAGGATGTCATCGTCGCAGGTGCGACGCTGCATCCAGTCATCTTGATGGCTTTTAGCCGTCGCCGTCACTAGCCTTGCGTTTTGCGGATTCCAGACATTCTTATGCCTTATTTAGTCTGCACACGCTAAGTCTTCCGGAGCTCCTACCTGTCTCCTCTCTCGCAGCCCTTCAGCGACTGCTTCACCTGGAAATGGCGGGTTACCACCACGAAGTCGCTGCTGTTTCGCAAAAGATCGCGACCAAGCTGGTATGGTAACCGCAGCCTTCTGCGTCAGCACATTCCTCCTTGTACTAGTAACCGCTTTTCGCGATGATAGGCTGATGGCCTTATTCCACGTTCTACGCATCTGTCAAGTTTACGTTAAAGCGTGGCGTTTGACGCTTGAACTAGTATCAACAGTCCAGTAGTCTCTTGCTGACACTGAACTGAAACTCTCCACACAGTCTGATTGTTTCGCTGCCTGGTGTTTCACCATAGCTTTCCACACGATCTGAGTGTTTCACTGACTGGTGTTTCAGGGCACAGCGGACGACAGGAGCAGCGTGGAGCATCAGACGCTGCAGGCACTCAGCCAGACGCTCATAGAAGCATGTCGTCAGCATGGCATGGACGTGACGTCATCTGTGAAAGGCGGAAGGCTGGGATTCCAGGGCCTGGAAGACTTTTTGAATTCCTCGCGGATGGGAACTGACCACTACGATCGCGACAAGCTGGTTACTGACCTGTATTTCGCCTTCCTGTTCGCTCAAGATGTAAGTGGCCTACCATGGTTCATGCTTCTACGAATCTAGCTGGAAGGATTTTATAAATCTGATTTATCTTATATGATTCTCTTTCAGGACGCTCAAGGCAGCATGCAACGCATTGAAGCAGCAATTAACGAAGCAGTGGAAAGGCTTATATCAGGACCAACCCGAGACTGCCTGTCGCCTTTATCCCCCTTGAGCCCATCGTCTGCCGACCATCTCTCTCCTTGTAAAAGCGGAGGAGGGTTCTCCTCTGGCTGCGTCCGTGCTGCTTCTGTCAACGACCTCCCTGCTTATGCGCGCCCAGACGCCTTCAAACTGCCTCAGGCCCCTCCCTCAGCTACTTCTTATTCTTCCAGCAGCAGCAGAGGCGGTGCCAGCAGCAGCAGCAGTGGGTCCAAATGGGGCGCATCTGCTTCTTCAGTGAGCAGGAAGGCAGGAAACAAGCCATCTCCTGTTGTGGCAACTGGCACAGATGATGATAAGACGTGAGTGACTTAAGTGACAGCTCTTGCATCTTGCAGTCGATCTGCATAGGCACGAATGTTAGGTGCACTCTGGACAGATCAGTTCCTTGTTCTTCCTGACGTGTTCATGTGTGATTGGCAGGTCTGACGGGCTGATGGTGCTGAAGCGGCTGGCATGCTGCATGGCGAGAGCAGCAGCAGAGGCAGAGGCGCGCAGGCAGAGGGGCTGCAGGACGCACAGGAGGTGGTGAGGCGGGAGCAGGAGAAGGCGAGTCGATCAGTAGCCATGGCCGAGGGAACGAGTGGGGGTGTGCCCATGGGTGGGGGCAGGCCCATTCCATCAGCACAAGGCGGTCACAGCGCTGCGGGTGGTGCATGGGGCACTGCCTCGGCTAACAGTGCTTTCTCTGGTGGTGCTCCTGGTGTGGCTGGTGCAAGGAGTGTGGCCGGCCCATCTGCTGGCAGTTCTGCTGCTGCTGTGTCCAACTGGAAGGGAGGCAACTGCAGCGCCATGCCTGTGGATGCGGCTGTTGGTGCTTATAACAGGGGAATGGTGACGGGGGGAGCTGGTGGTTATGTGGCGTCTGGTGGGGCTGGGAAAGGCAGTGGAGGGGGGTGGGGAGGGAAGAGTGGTGGGGGTTGGTGATAGTGCTGGGAGTGGATTGGGGGGAGGGATGAAGGAAGAGGAAGAGGGGGGGGGGGGCGGAGGGGAGAGGAGGGAAGGGGTAGCTGTAACATGAGGGGCCAGTTGGTGTAAATTGGTCGGTGAAGCTAAAGAGACTGGGACAGTTGAGAGGAGAGCACCCATGCTTGCTTAGGCAGGCAGATCAATAAGCAGGTGTGCTTCCAAGGGTAGAACAAAAATCTGGAATGGAGTATATATGGTTGCCATGAGCAAAGAATGAATGTACATGAGCAACATTGCTGCCATTCGTGTATCTGACAGCTAGTGCATGTGCATCTACAATGCTGCTCCTATGCATGCTACAGTCACACCATGGCACACCATCTAGAGCACACGTTCTCAGCTCAAAAGAGACCTGAAAATAGTTCCCCAGGACCGCCTCAAGGGACCTGTCGCTCCTTATCAAGGCACGTGCCCCCTGATCCCCATGAGTGGCACACATAAGTTGAGTGACAAGGGCTGTAGAAGCAGGAGGAGACTCACCTATCCCTGCAATCTACAACCCCTTCCACATTTATTTTGTTAACTGCTTATCGAAGCCCCCTCCTTCCTGATGTAGTGTAATTGTCCGTGTAGGTTGGGCAGGTCAGCATATGGCCTGCGGGATCCAGCGGCGGTAGATCTGCCCGCGGAGGGCGCCCTGGGGGAACGCCTGCGTGTTGATCTGCACGTAGAAGCGCCCGGGGTTCTGGTCGATCCTCTGCACCAGGTCGTAGATCGACGACCCCGTTTGCATCGTCCCCACGCTCTTCACTGTGCTAACGCCGCCGCCGCCGCCGCCGCCGCCGGCGGTCACGCTTGACGCGTTCGCCGCTTTAATCCCGTTGGACGGGGCGCGAGTGAACGCCGAATCCGGCGGCGTGACCCCGCTATTGCTCGCAGTGGAGCCGCCCGCCGCCGCCGCCGCCGCCGCCGCCGCCCCCGTTATTGTCAACTATCCGAGGCTGATGTACTTGTTGTCGGCGTCGGTGATCCACGTGTCGACCTTCAATTCGTTGGGGTCGTCGATGGTCCAGGGGTTGGGGAGGCGCCAGACAAGCTCGCCGTTGCTGCCGCGGCGGCCGTCGTAGAGCGTCTGGCCGGTTGGCGGCAGCGGCGCGGTGAGCGACTCGATGTCGAAATGGAGCTTTATGTTGATCTTGCTGCCTTGCCTGCGAAACGTCGCAGAAGTTAGCAAGACGTCGCAAAACGTCGCAAGTCAGAGATGGTCGTTAGTAAAACCACGGGTTGCGAAACGCCGTGATTGCTGCACGTGACTGCAACGTGACTCGTTAAAAGCAGAAGGTTCTCACTGCGAAACGATCTGATAAAAGCTGGAAGCACTCACTGGAAGACGAGGATGCGGAAGTAGCCAACCGCGCCGGAATCACCCCCGAGATTGGAGCTGAGGACTTTGTTGGGCTTTAAGTTAGCGATCAGCGTGCCTGCAGGGGGAGAGGTGACGGGCAGGAGAGGGGGGGGAGAGAGAAAGGAGAGGGTGGGGCAGAGGGAAAGGAGTAATGAAAATCGCCGGCATGTATGGATGGCGGCCGAGTGATGCATGGACGGGCACTTGGGGCTTGAGGACATGGCACAGGGGGGCATAGGGAGAAGAGGACAAGGGGACATGGGGGCATGGTGACATGGGGGCATGGTGACATGGGGGCATGGTGACATGGGGGCATGGTGACATGGGGGCATGGTGACATGGGGGCATGGTGACATGGGGGCATGGTGACATGGGGGCATGGTGACATGGGGGCATGGGGACATGGGGGCATGGGGACATGAGGACATGGGGACATGGGAACATGAGGACATGGGGACATGAGGACATGGGGACATGGGGACATGGGGGCATGGGGGCATGGGGGCATGGGGACATGAGGACACGAGGGATGCGGCAGCGCGTTTAGGCCATGGGGGAGGCTTGCTTTCGAGCGTGGTGGGAGTGAAAGTCATAGCGCTTCAATTCTGCTTTTGAGTCATGAGTCCCTTCAAAAGCAGTTTACGGCGGGGTAGGAGGGAGGCGGAAGCGTGAGATCGAAAGAGAGTGACTGGCAGATTATTCGAGTCCGGCGACGAGGCGCGGGGCATAGAGCGAATCGATCCGATACACGCGAGAAGACCGATTAGAAGTTGAGGAGACGACCGACTAGGCGTGCGACAAGAAGCGTGCGACAAGAGGCGTGCGACAGGAAAAAGAGGCTCACATCGAGGGACCCCAGGGAAGGGGACTTGAGCTGTTGCCGTTAACGACGATGCTAGTACGAGCAAGGTTGACAGTAGCACCGCTAACGCCGTTATATGCGCCATTGGCTTGCACTACGCGAGCTGAGGATGCGACAGTGCCTTAGAGATCCGCGGGGTGAAGGTCTAGACGGTGCGCTTCGTGTCTATGCGGAATGAGATTGCTCTGTCAAGTCGATTAATTCTAGCCAGTTACAAGTCGAACAAGTTTATGTTTCGTCAAACAAGTTTGGGTGGATTGCGGGCCCTCGAAAGGCCCAGTGCTCAAGAAAGATATGGCAAACCGACGAGTCTGCCGCGTCGACAAGCCTAATACGGCCGCCACGCGTCTACCGACAAGTCGGCCGACGAAGGTAGGAAGGAAGAGGCCACCCACTGGAAGAAGTTGACTGACGCAGCAATGGCGCGGGCGACGACGGTTGTGGGGAAGGCTACGTGATACTGAAATCTGGAGTGGAGTGGAGTGGAGATGAGAGGAGTGGAATGCCTGGCCCATTCCCCCAACACAACCGCCAGCAGCCAGCAGCAGCCAGTGAGGCAACCTGACCAAGGGGAGGGGTGAAGCATTTGTGTTGAAATGTCGGAGAGGGGGAGAGGCATTTTCCGAGCCAAGGCGCGCCAAATTGCCCTCCATCAGGTCGCGTTCCGAGTCGCGCCGCCAATTCCGAGCACGACGGGGCTCGCTGAGGCCCCGACCGAGTTCCAAAATTTTGATACAAATTCGCTCGTTACTATCGTCAGATAATCCGAAAAATCCCAGAGTGCGAACAAATGTGCACACCCACTTAGACACTACGACAGGTTCATATGATAAATGAGAAATATGAGGACAGAATCTACAATGCTTTCCTTCTATCCATGGTCCACCTCGTGCTCGTAGTTATGAATATAGTACATGTAATAATTTTAAAATGGTGCAGAAGACTAAGTACACAATCTGCAGACACAACTTGTACTTGAAGTAGAAAATAATACTGAAAGTACCTCCAGTAGCAGTTAGTTAACAAGTTGTAGCACTAGAATCAGTATTACACCCTTGTGATACTTCAAGACTTGAGCACGGATCTTTGATGGAATGGTAGACTAGTAAGACAGCGGAAATCTTAGAACTTCTTGTTAGATTGTCGAGAGAATGATGGGGCTAAGGGAAAGCAGCGATGGTTATAAAGGTAGGACTGTATCCTCTGAGAACTGACCTAACTAAGGCTATAACAAATATAAACTACCTAGCCTATATAATTATATTTGTTAACACGCCCCCTAGCCGAGAGAGTGCCAGTTCATAACAAAGAAAAATACATCAGGGCAGCACTACTAGTCTGACCTCAGGTGAGTCTAATAAGGAAACTGAGGGCAGCACTACAAATCTGACCATTGAAACAAGAGACCACAAGGCCAATCAGCAAGTGTAGCAAGACAAGCAGGTATAGAACAACAAGTACATGTCGAGAAGAAAAACTCAACAAGTGTTTGATAGAGAGAGAGAACAATGGTATATACCTAAGAGTGTTGTACCCTCTAATAGGTGACCCTATACAGTCTATACAAATATGAGTTATACATATATTTGACACACCCCCTAGACTGCATAGGGGCAAATCCTGAACAAGCAGCTCAGGGCGGCACTACTAGTCCAGCCACTGAGACAAGGGTCTAAAGACCAGTCAAAAGGAGTACAGGCAAGACAAGAACAAGACCAGGGCGGCACTACTAGTCCAGCCACTGGGAAGGACACAAGTCCAGTCTGAGTACATATATAGATATATATAGGACAGTACAAAGTCAAGGTCCTAGCAAGTGAGAGGCTACAGGAACTAGACCGAGCTGTACACAGTGCCGCTGATGATCTTTAGGCGCAAGCGCCTTCGTAAAGATATCAGCTGTGTTGGCACCAGAGGCCAAGTGAACTACGCGGGCCTGGCGGCGCTGCTGTAGCTCGCGCAGGAGGAAGTACCGCAGCTGGATGTGCTTCGCTCTGCCCTCAAGTCGAGGCTCCTGACACAGGAGTATCATGGCCCTGTTGTCAGCGTACAGGACCGGGGCAGAGCTAGGCCGCTCACCTAAGTCTGTGAGCAAGAAGGTCAGCCAGCGGAGCTCCTGTGCCGCCATGGCACCAGCGTAGATCTCAGCCTCACAGCTACTGAGCAACAGACGACGAGCGAGTGGATCTCCAAGAGATAGCACCCGAACCAAGGCTAAACAGTAGCCCTGCGACGACCTGAGCGTCTCAGAGTCGTCTGCCCAAGAAGCGTCTGTGTGCCCAGTGAGGACCACTGGCCTGCGTCCTCCTAACACTAACCCCATGCCTGATGTACTAGCTAGATATCGCAAAACCCTCTTAGCGGCCGACCAGTGCTGTGGTCGGTGTCTGCCAGTGGCCACAAAGCGAGCCAGGATGCTGAGAGGGTATGCGAGATCTGGGCGAGTGCAAGTCATCAGGTACATGAGGCAACCCACCAGCTCTGCGTAGGGGCCTGGGCTCTACTGGCTCCTCAGGAACGGAGCGGAAGCCCGTGGTCTACAGGTAGAGGTGTGGGCTGTGCGGAGGAGAACTGAAGACCGAACCTCTGAAGGACCTGACGCACCAAGTGTGACTGGGTCAGAGTGATGGTGCGTGCTGCTCTGTCCCTAGAGATCTGCAGGCCAAGATAGCGACGCAGCTCTCCAAGGTCAGTGCAGGTGTGTCTCTTCAGCAGCTCAGCTTCACAGAGGCCAGTGCGTCCCTGTCAGGAGTAGCGAAGACCAGGTCGTCTACGTAGACAAGGATGTAGAACGGAGTCTGGCCGGAACGCACAAACAGTGAAGGGTCAGCAGAGGACGGAAAGAACTGCAGGTCTGCTAACGTGGCACGTAGCGTGTCGTGCCACTCGCGGGGAGCCTGACGCAGGCCGTAGACCGGGCGCCTGAGAAGCCACTGGGTCCCAGGAGGGAAGGTACCAGTGAAGCCCTGTGGTCGGCGCAGGTAGACCTGCTCGTGTAGGCTGCCCTGAAGAAAGGCAGTAGAGAAGTCGAGGGAGTGAAGCTCGTAGTCACGCTGTGCTGCTACGTGTAGCAGCGCCCGAAGAGTGGTCATCTTCGGGGTCGGGGCGAAGGTCTGGAAGAAGTCAACCCCCTCGCGCTGACTGAAACCTCTGGCCACGTAGCGCGCCTTGAAGACAGGCGGCTCTCCAGGGGGGCGCTTCACCTTGAAGAGCCACCGACCATCGACTACGTTCACCCCAGGCGGGGGAACTGCGTCGACGTAAGTGCCGGTGGACCTCCAAGATGCCATCTCCTGCTCCATGGCAGCTATCCACTGAGAGGCCCAAGGTCCCGAGGTGGCCTCAGCGTAGGTGCGAGGGGTCGGGATGTCGAAGGCGTCTGGGTCACCCTCAGGGACTAACAGCATGGAGCAGAGATGGGGAGCAGCCTCGGAAAGGAAAGCAGCTCGTACTGCCTGTCCTCTAGGACGTCACTGCCAAGGGCAGGAGCACCCCCGACGGACGGAGGACGGGCAGGGTCAGAGACCAGAGCGGTAGCGTAGTCAAGGCGGCGGGTAGAGGCGAAGTCAGCGACAGCAGCGACAAGCGCGTCAAGGCGCGAGACAGGAACAGCAGGGTCGGTAACAAGAGAGGCAAGGACCCGAGGGACAAGGGGACGAGCAGCACGGAGGTAGTCAGAGAACGGAGGAGGTGCAACAGCAAGGGACGAGGGAGGAGGGGACGGGAGGAGGGGAGGACGAGACGAGTGGGAACGGAGCAACATAGGGTGGGTGGGCAGGACAGGAGAGACGGGACGAGCACGGGAGGGACGGCGAGCCCAAACGTGAGACGGAGGGTAGGGTCAGGGGACAGCGGAGGAGACACAGGAGGGGAACGAGGAGGAAGACGGGCCGGAGACGAGTCTGGCGGCGGGAACACAGGACCGTAGACAGGAAGGTCAGCAGGCGGTGGGGGGACACCGCGCGCGGTCCGGGGAGGGAAGGCCGAGCAGGCGGAGAGCGGAGACCGGCGGCGACGGCTGCTGCGGCGGCGACGACGGCTGGGCCGGAACTCTCGGACCAGCAGAGGCAGAACGACCGTCGGCAGAACACTCAACAGCAGCACCCCCAGAACCAACACCCCCAGAGCGAGAACCCCCTCCAACACCAGCGGCACCCCCAGAAGCCGCAGGACGAACACCCTCCTCCACACCAGCACCCCCAGGGGCCAAGAGCGGCGCGGCAGTGGCGGCGACGACTGCGGCGGCGACGGCTGCGGCGGCGGCACAGCGGCGACGGCTGCGGCGGCGGGCGGCGGCTGCAGCGGGGTCGGCGACTGCGACAGTGGGGGCGGAGGCACCGGGAAGGGGGACGCGGCAAGGACGACCGGGGGTACCACCAGAGTCAGCAGACTCCTCAACGGGGACAACCGACGGGAGGGGAGTGACGTGAGAGACACCAGACGGGGCAGGACGAGGCGGGAGAGGGGCAGGGGCTACCGGGGAGAGGGAGCAAGGAACAGGGGGGGGCAACTGGGAGACCTCGGTGAGGGAAGCGGCGGTAGAAGGAGACGGACTCGTCAAAGGTGACGTCACGAGAGTGGAGGAAGCGGTGAGACGGCGGGTGGTAGAAAAGCCAGTCAGACGAGTCCAGGGGGAAACCGAGGAAGACACAGGGGACAGTGCGGGCAGTGAGCTTGTCCGTGCCAGAGGCACGAACGTGAGCAAGGCAGCCCCAGACGTGGAACGCAGACGCGTCACCGGGGGACCCGGTCCAAAGGAGGGTCGGCGAAACCTGCGGCCGCTGGGAGCGTGGCCACAGGTTAAGCTGGTGAGCAGCGTAGCGAACAGCGAACGGCCACAGAAAATGGGGGGCATCGGCATGGATCATGGAGGTACGGGCGACCTCCATGACCAAGCCGATGCGGCGCTCAGCAACCCCATTCTGCTGTGGCGAGTCCGGCAAGGTGTACGACTGGGTGATGCCCTCCGCACGACAGAACTGTCCAAGCCGACCAGAGGCGAACTCGCCGCCACGGTCGGAGTGGAGACACAACACGGGGAGACCGCGGTGGAGACGCGCAGCCACAACCCACGGGAGAAGAACGTCGGGCACGTCGGCCTTCCGCTCCAGGGGAAACACCGTGGTGTAGCGCGTGTAGTCGTCGACGAGCACAAGGAAGTAGCGCTCACCGCGCGGTCCGGGGACGGGGGCAGGGCCCCAAACGTCCAGGTGCAGGGTCTGAAGGGGGGCAGTAGCAGGGCGCAGCGAGGAGGAGTGAGGGCACGGCGGAGCCGGCCCTCGACGCAAGGCGTGCACGGTGGCGCAGTCGAGGGAGGAAGGGCGGGAGCGACGCAGGGAGACCTAAGACAAGACCGTGCTGGGACATGTGACGCAGACGAGGGAG